TGAAGTGGTCTTTACTGCAGTGCACAGACACGTTATTTTCTAGCTGTGATTGTTTCTTTGCATCTTTTGCTCCATTCTTTTTTTTTTAACTTGCTTACCTCAGGGCTCTGAGGGAAAAATTTCCCTTCTCAAAATATTTGCTCATGACTGTCTTAGGTTGGATGGAAATGGTGTGTGTATTCTGTTCCTATCTGATGGGGCAGTCATCTTCTGTTAATTGGGCAGGTTTTTTTCTCTTCCACAGCCCATCCTCCCTCCAGGGAGATATCTTCTGTTAACGTGCCATTGAATGCCACAGCATGACTGATAAAACTTCATCTTCCCAGCTCCGCCCAGAGGGAGGAGCCAAGCATTCCTAACTGGATATACTCAGAGATTTAGAAGACCACAGCAGCCGTTTCCCACTGGATTCCAAGGAAGACCAGGCCCATCTACACCACCACTGGATCTTCAGAGGAAGACTACACCCTTCTACAGGATCACTGCTTCAACAGAACCACACCTGTCACTCCAGGAGGACTGCAGCCACCATTTCAATGGGACTGCAACCAACACCCTGACCAGGGTGTATTCTGTCAGGTTGTATTCTGACTCTGTCAGTGTTGTTTTGTATTACTGCATTGAGGTTTTTTTTGGTTTTTTTCTTCCCTAATAAGGAACTGTTATTCCTGCTCCCATAGCTTTGCCTGAGAGCCTCCTTAATTACAAAATTATAACATTTCGGAGAAAGGGTTTTACATTTTCCATTTCAGGGGAGGCTGCGGCCTTCTGTAGCAGACACCTGTCTTTTCAAACCAAGACAATGACTCGGTGCTGTCTCCAAGCACAGGTTCAGGGAAGGCAGTTCTGTTCTTTTCTCCTTTCAGCACAGAGAACTGAGAGCAAACAGATTGAGTACTAGGCCACAACCTCTACTGGACTCTCAATGCACATGCCAGGTGGGAAGCAGTGGTGGGATCTCCTATGCAAGCCCCTTAATTCCATAGGATGCATCAGGTTTTCCCCAGGGCTTCAGTGTTGTATCGTGCTTTTTGTTTTATCAGTAGGTCTCTGGTTTGATTTGTGATTTAGTGGTTTTCCTTGGTGCTGTTTTTTTTTTTGTTTCCACCCTTTTCCCAGAGATGCCGTCAGCTAGTTTCTAGTTTCTTTTTCTCCAAACTTTACCCATTTCCTAAAACTGTTTTTCTTCCTTTGAAGTTTATTGGTTCACTACTGTTATTCCCCACCTAGGTTTTTACTCCCAACTCTCCTGATTTGTTGGAAGTTGGGTGTGCCCCTGCCTTTCCCCTGAGATATAAGTCTTTGTTGGCCCCTTAATCGGGGCCCAGGAAGAGAAAGGGGAAATTTGTCATCAAATAAAGTTACCCTGGGACCCGTGTGCGCTGCCTGTGTTTTATACTGTGCCAAAACAACTGACAACTGGGATTCAACGGAGCTCCAGGGGGAAAAACTGCCGCCCCCTTCCCTTAACATCAGCTAGCTGGGGAAAGACTACAGGAGACAGCATTTCCCCTCTCAGGCAGACACTGCAGTATAATGAGCTCTGATAAATCTGGATTGCGGTGAAAGCTGTCAAGGTGCAGCACAGGAGCTCTTGCACTCCCGGTAGCTGGAGTCAGTTGCTTCCAGTCAGCTGGCTGAGGTTCACATTGTGGTGGCTTCCTTCTGGAGGCAACTTCTGCCTGCATCAGAAATAGTTTTGCTTTTTAAAGGATGCACTACAGCAACTGTGTCATGAGAAGTTGCCTGCCCTGTCCTCTTGGGCTAGTGTGGGCTACATTTGACTCCAAGGCAATTTGTGCTTACTATTGAATGTGGACAACAGTTTGCATTTCCGATCAGGCTGGTGTACTATCTCTAAAGTTCTACACCTCTGGTGAAGATTGTAACAAACTTCTGGTGTAAGATAGCAAGTTCTGTCTCCAGAGACAGAAGAAACCACATCCAGTGGTTTGTCCTGTTTAATTCTGATTCTGCTGGGTCCTTGCAAAGTGAGTGTTTTCCACAAGTGACTGGATAGGAGACATTGCTGGAAGGAAGCTTAGAGATCACTGCCCGGGGGACTGATCTGATGACTGAATCAGCAGCATTTCTCTGTATTTTAGTCTCAAAATTCAGGACAAGCAGACATCAGACAGCAGGAAGAGGAAAGCACTGAGGTTAACATATCCTATGTTAGCCAAAGAAACTGAACAACTAAAATCATGTTTGTAAATAATGCAAATTATGTTACACTGAAACATCAACTGGAATCAGAGCCCTGACAAAAAGCTAAGTTTTGTGGGAGAACATCCCCAATGTTGTGTGGCTTTCCATAGAAGAGACCTTGGTGCCTACTGCAAGATTTCCTTTTCCTTCTGTCTGAATACATTTACCTCTTTCTTGCTGTAACCTTGATCTATATTTGTACTCCAGACAGGGCACATCACAGAGAAAGATGAACAGATGTGTAGGAATGCTGAGGCTTTTTGCAATATCATCACCTTGGCCAAGGAGGAAGATGGCCTTTCAAAACCTCATTCATAAATTGATGCTGTTGCATTAATGAAGGAATTCCAGTTTAGTCTTCAATGGCTCCAAAAAATCATTAATTGTAGCACAGTACAGAGAAAAAAACAAAAGCTCGGTGTACATGACTAAAAAAGAAAAAAAAATACACCAAAACCCGAAAGGCAAAAAGGTTAAAATGGAACTAAATAAAATAAATTACATCTACCTGAGAACCAGTCACCTATTCCATATCTGGAAAATGCTGAAGTCATTATATTTCATATTTTTCTGAAGCATTTGGCTAGTTTGTAAGAATAGCTCACCTACTTCTTCTATTAAAACATTAAGTAACTACTCTGTAAATACTATCCTCTAAAAGTCCATTGAGATTCCTTTATTGCAGGCTGCAAACTTTTACACATTCAGTATGCAGAGGTCTTGGACTGCACAAACCCTTTTCCCATTATCATACTACTTTATTCTTTTCCTCCAAACTCTTTAAGCTGTGCTGCAGATTTCATTTTTTGCTCTGATAACCTTGAGAGTTGCTGGTAGGTGACTAATGAATTAAAACAGGGAAGCTCAAGGTGCACATATTCAGAATTCTCAAGAGTTTGCCTCTGAGATAATATCTAATAGGATATGCATGCCTTGGTCACACAAGAAGACCCCATGAGCACTTAAGATCTAACTGATACACAGTAAAACCCTGAGAAGCAAAGATTTATTAAAGGTGGAAGGTCTTAGCAGGAATGGAATGCTAAGGAGGGACAAAAGCCCATAAATTGCTCTCATAATGACTTTACACAAAAAAAAACCTGAGAGGGATCTGATTAAGTACATCAAGGCAACCAGTTATGACATTTTTTTGTGAGTGAAGGTTTGAAAGACCTATGATAAAACTGCTCATAAGAGCTACTGACCATGTGGGCAGATGGGGCACAGTTTACCTGGATGCTCCTGATACGTGACTTAATGCATTTGCATGACCTTCAGTCCTAGGCACAGCTGCTTCTTGCACTTGCCACTGGACATCAAACCATCCTCTAGCCAGTCAGAAGGGGATTATTTCCCCACAATCAGTGAGCCAGTAAAATAGTACACAGAATAACAGAGGATTTATTTAGTTATTCTCTCTGCTTGACTGATTTGCTGTTAATATCTGCTGCTGTCACAGACAGGCATATCAATGGGCTTGGAAGTTCAGGACTCTCTGTGCTGGAATGCCTCACTTAGGTGAGCATGGGAGCTGTGATCTGCTCCTGCTGACACAAACTGTACAAAGAATAAAATGTAAATTTTGCTATCAGAGTTCCTTTGGTTGTTTGCTAGAGTTACCAAGCGGCTTCTTTTGCTTTACTCAAAGCTCAAATTCCTAATTGAGGGCCGGTGTCAGGGAACAAAGCATGGATTTGGGGCTACTCTACTGAGCCCTGTGAGCTCCTAGCCAGCTTGAGATGACTCAGGAACAAGAGGAGCAGCAGCAAAACAAGGACACAGAGCAAGGGTATCTAACCATGGAAAGAACAGGTGGATTTCCAAATGATTCAATGTTTCGTGACCTTCTGAGCCTGGGTAATCTCGCAGTTGGGACATGATAAATGTTCAAGGTGGGCTGACTGCAGTTTCTGGCACTGATTCCTGACCCTGAGTAACTTCAGAACGCACGTACAGCTTTGGCTGTAATCCTGCCCAAAGTACCTCAGCTATTCTTAATGGCTGTGCTGGGATTGCTTCTTGGAGCCATGCCACAGTACAGAAAAAAATGGATGATTCATGGGGGCAAAAGACCAAGTCATTTAATGTAAAACTTCAAAGGCATCTGGCTGATTTCTATATTTAGCTGCTTAGTAATGAGAATTTGAACAGCTGGCCTATTAATTAAGAAGAGGGCACCCTCCTGCAAGCACTTAAACCTTCAAGTCAGTTCTGGTCAGCTGTCTGAAAACCATCTGCCCTCAGGAGAGGACTTTCTGCTTCAGATTGAAGTGCCCAGACCTGGGGGAAGGCAAGATGTTGCATTAGATCCTGCTGATTAATTCCTGATAGCTCTTTGCTAGAGAACTGTGTGGGCACAGCAGAGCCACCTAATCCTCCCTGTGCTCCGTAAATGGCTATGAAATTGTGCCATTATTGTACTGCTCCTCCCCTCATCTATAAAAGGCCATTCTTCTGTCAGGAACTGTGTTGCAGGAAGAACCACGATGGCTTTAGGTGGAAAAGAGTCAAAGACAAACCTAAGCACAATGTGTTCTCTCATGCAGCTATGTTAGGCATAGCTGAGTTCAACAGACAAGGAAGGAAACCAAGACAGACTCTGATGAATTACGGGGCTTCTACTGACACCTGTTGGCAAAACTCTCAAATATCCAAGGATGATGGACACAGCTCCACACCTCACAGATCACTCTTCCCTTCTGTGTGGGACAATGCTTCCACTGGCAGCAAAACAGAGGCAATTGCCATGTCCTGTACTGAAGATGAAGAAAGACAATGCCATTTACGTCACTCTTCCCTTCTCTGTGGGACAAGGAACCTTCCACTGGCAGCAAAACAGAGGCAACTGCCATGTCCTGTACTGAAGATGAAGAAAGACAATGCCATTTACCAGTCCTTTATTTGAATGTGGGATCAATTATTAGAGTAAAAGTAAGTCTGGGTTTATTGTTGGCCTATGGCCATTTTAAGGTAATATCAGTTGGTAATGCTTAGCATGTAGTGGGAAAACCCCCTTGAAACAATTCTTCATTTTGAAATGTCATATTTGGAAAGCCTGCACAGTATAGTTTAGTTAAAATATGGCAACTTGAATGACAGGATTTACTGAAACACTGTGATTGCAAGCAATTAAGTAAACTAGGTATGACTGCTCCTATGAAAGATGTCAGAAAATATCTGCATTGTGGAAAACCAGTGAATATTTTATCAAGATTTTCAATGCATATATCATGAACAAACACATAGCTGCCCTACCTGTTAAGGCATTAGTGTTAGTGCAGCAGAACAGGGAAAGAGCAAATACAGATCTTGCCTAGGGAAGCCAGGCTGCTTTCATGTCTGTAAATTGCAGAAATTTAAGGGTGGAACGATACCCAAGCCAGAAAAAGAGAAGCCAACATATCTGTAGGTGACTGTATAAACCTTGCAAACCATTAACAAGCATTGCCAGGGGTAGGAAATGTGAAATTGTTTTTGTAAGGGGGCATTTGGTTGAGGTGGAGCAATGCAAGGCAAATTGGCCCTGAGGTTTACAGGTACACCCTCTTTTCTAGCTTAAAAGAAACACAAATAACAGAGGAAGCTGAGGCACAGACAGCACACTCAGGCTTCAGCTGGTGTTGAGGGCTGCACCTCCATGTGCTGCAGAGCCTGATGTGAGTGTTCTGCAGAGACCAAAAGCTCTGGAGCACTGCAGCCCATGTGACACAGGGAGAAATCTCGGGAAGACTCCTTCCACCTCAGCTTGCTGGAAAATATTGCCAGAGCTGGGTAACAGGTTATCCTGCTGCACTGCTCTTACACATCTAAGTCCTTGGTTTACCCATTTGTTGCAGAAATGCAACTTCTGTTGGTCTTGTGACTATTTACTGAGCCACTCAATTTTGTGAACTTCTGTCTGGGTCTTCCTGGCATGCTTTAAATATTAAAGTTCCCATTGAGCTGGCAGAATAAACAAAGAAGTGTTCCAAGGAGAAGTGTATCTTGCTACAAATTTCATTTTGTAAAACATCAGGTTATTCTTTGTCGCCTCTAGAGCTCATACAAAATGTAAAAATCTTCCTTTTCCCCTTCTGTAATCAATAGCATTTGCTGCTGCTAAGTCTGTTATTTGGCTTATTGATTGCTAGTCATTCCTACTCAGACCTGTTTCCTGAAGATCCTTCAGGAAAGGAATATATAAGATATGAGGTTACCTGATGTGAACATGCAGTTTCTGAGTCCTGGTACACATTCCCTTTTGCCTATTAACACGATGCAGGAGGAGCAAGCCTCTTACTTCCACATTAAAGGTTATGGAATTTGTCACTGTCAGTTGCTGGCAAATATGAAGTTGAATACATAAATAAAGTAAAAAACAAATAAGATCCCAAGACAACAAATATAAGGAATAACAGAAAATATGTCTCAGTGTTAGACGACCCTCTTCCTTGCATCAGAGAACTGCATGAAGACATGCATGCTTGGTAATGTCATTATTAAAAAACCTGCTTACAGATCGCTTCTTGCTTTTGGGAAGAGTCATGTAACTTTACACTGGGAAGAACTTTCAGAGTGGTTTTGATTCCCTTCCTGACCCAGCTAGAATTTATCACTCTGCCTTTTAGTCTGGTATGCTAGATGTGCAGAAATCCTTAACACAACACCAGTTACAGGTGTCCTGTCACCACTCCCATGGTTCCTGCAGTGCCTGGCTGCTGCTTCTTACACAGTTTGGAATGCAGTGGGAGACAACAGAAATTTCCTTTGGGCCAGAAGTGCCTTTAGATAGTCATTTTAAATATCCAGGCTCTGCCAGCTGCTGAGGATTTGATGATACTCTGGTGACTGCTATTCTGTAACTGCAGCATAGCAGACTGTTGGATTAAAGCAATTAAACATTAAGACTCATTAAACTAATTAAACATTTAAGGAGTTAAAGATGAATTTTTAATTTTCAGTCAGATGTGCCCTAAAGCTTACTTATAACCTTCCATCCACTGTGGTCATGATAGTACAAACCCACTTGAGTCCCTGCAGTGCAGTGTCCCACCAGCAGCACTGATCTGATAGCGTGAAGGAGGATGACCAAAGCCCTGAGCAGATGAAGCCCATTAGCACAGCTTGCCACAGTTTCAATAGATCAAAAGTAACTCTTAAGAGCTGCAGTGAATCTCCCTGAGATGCCCCTCCAGCATCAGCTGTCAGCTGGGTAACAGACCAACACCTTTACATGTCAGGCCCTTTGCAATGAAGAAACCAATCAGGGATCAATAGTGGACTTTTAAAGGAGCTGCTTACTTTCAATACTTGCTGACTTGTAGCTTCAGCATAATTAGCTGTTAATTTGTTTTACATTTCTGAGTCCCCTGTGTCTCTGGAACACTACATCCATATGCTTCTCTCTCATTCCTAGCTCCTTCCTTCTCGATGACAGGTACATGCTTTTCCCTCTAGTAGCATTTGGTTATTTTTAGGTAACTAAAGTGTACAAAACAGAAGAACTACTTCCAAAAGTACAGATGTGCTCCACCAGCTTCACCAGTTCTTTCATTCTGCTGCTTCATTCTGCAGTGCCACGTGCAGCACTGGGATCACTTCAATACCCAGCTGTTAATGGATGGACTGGCAGGAAGAGCCCCAGCCTTGTCCTGATGAGGTACCTTTGCTATGCTTCTTACCAGCCTTTCCTACAATGAATGCACTGCTTGAGAAGGGGTGATCTCCTGCTCTGGGAACAGCATGCCCACTGAATTACACTCATACCAGGAAATTCTTGCTCCAGAGTACCCACTGTACTCTGACACAGTCTCAAATCTACTCATTGTAAGAGCCAGAAAATGCAAGGTTAGAGCAGGGGAGCACAAGTGCAAGGCTGGATCATAGCTGGAAACACAGCTTCCTGATAGGAACAAATGTAATTTGGAATTCTTTCAGGAAACAAAAAATTGCCCTCAGCTATCCTTTGTACAGGGAGGCAAAAGACTAAACACTGAGAAGTGTGTTTAATAAAAATACTCTCAAATACTTTGACACAGTTGGAATTATCTACAAGTTGTGCAGACTGTAGCATTGTCGCTGACAATCTCCATGTACTTGCTCCAGCTATCCTATGCCAGCAATGCTCTCCCAGGACCTACATAAAGATATTAATAGCAATTCATCTCACAGAAGCCTGGTGCTAATCTTGACTCATGGCAGTGGTGAGCTTTGCAGTCTCACCCTACCTCTGTTCTGCATGAATGCACTCTTACTCGGCTTTATTTATTTTCATAGTAAACACAATTCCGGGAAAAGCTTTCCTACGCCCTCTGCTGGTTTTCCAAGACAGCCATTTTCACCCGAGTCTTACAACTCTTCCTGTAAAATACCGGTAGGTTCCCATACCTCTTCCATTTTCTTCTGACTAAACTGTAGCAAGATTTATAGGACAGAATCATAGGTGCAAATTATACCGATTACTTCCTCCTGTTTCCCTGTGACCTACAAAATGACTACCAATTTTCATGTTTACTTACCAGCGTTTTTTGAACTTTACTGTTCAGGAAATACAGGCAATCCCCACCTCTTCATAAACAGCAGGCTTCCTTGAGTAAGTCTGCACAGAGAACAGGAGCTGCCTTTGGTTCCCTTTCATGTTGAGGAGAGTGGCAAACTCCATGCAACTTCAGCCTAAACCTTATGGCTTCAAAGTAATTTTTCAGTGGATCAATTATTTCCTTGTATTTCTGCCTTCACCGCCAAGCCTCCTTAAACACTTAACCGCTAAGACTGAGGCAATTGTACTAGGCAATTCCCAAAACTCTTCCAGAATAATTCTTTAGTCTTTAATGTAAGTTTTGTATATTCCATGAATGTTTACCAAAAGGTCAAGACTTCATACTGCTCTGATTCTCACTGGTGACTTACTCTGGTATCCAAAGCCAGTTCTGCAGGTTTCAATACTCAGGTTAGTAAGTCTTAACACTTCTATTTCTGTATTTTGGTGTATTTATGTATAAAGACAATCTAATTTATCCATAAACGTAAAACCCTTTGATAGTAATTCTCCAAAGAAAAAGACACGACCAGTTCAGTTCGCAATGGCCAGATGGTGAGACTTGTCAAATACAAGGGTGTATCCTCAGTGCTAGAAATCCATACCATAATCACAGGCTGGGCCAGGTCATGACTGCAGTAAGGGTATGGTGTCTGACAATTCACATAGCTTGAGTCACATAGCTGAGACCAGGCGTCTTAACTCTGAGAGCGAATAACCCTGAGTGAACCCTCTACAGTAAATTCAAACGTGCACCAGATCCAGCTAGGGATATACAGTGGCAGTAACCCTATCTTGTCGGGAAAAAGGAGGTACTCATTAATCAATCCAACTTTAGTTTAAGGTTTTGGACGAGAACACAGTCTTTCTTGGAAATTCCTTCTGCTTCAGTTTTCCCTCCACTCAAATCTGCACCTTTTTAAATTGTATTAGCCAATTTACTTACTAAATGTTGTGCAAGTCTGTAGCCTCCATTACTGCTCAAACTCTTTGTTCCCAGTAAATGCAGGAACAGCAAACAAACTTCCAAGGCAGCAGAACTTTCACTGAAGAACCAAAAAACCACTAATGAGCAAGACACCACAGACAAATCCACAAAAGCAAAACCCCCACACAGCATGCACCTCCACCATGAAATTATCACTTTCCTAAGAGTCCCATAAATACAGTGCTCTCTCAGAAGTGCTGACATGATGATGGTGCTGCTTCTTCAGAACTCAGCTCTTAGGGAGACTAGAGAACTACTTTAAGTCAAAATACAGCGTTAAAACACAAGTGTCTCTGCTATTCTCAGTGATACCACACATACACCACTCACAAGAAAGAAAGCAAGCTTTTACCAAACCCACACAGTGAAAGCCACTCCTTGGGAATCCAGTGCAATCCTAAATGCAGAAGTGCAACCTGGCTGTAGCCAGCTGCCTTCCCACTGAACTGACAGGCAAGGAAACAGCCATGTTCCTGTGGCACCTGCTCAGTGTCCAGCACATCACAACTGGGGGCATCGGGAGCCAGCCAATGACTCTGCAACTGCCTGCCTCCTTAAAGGAAGGTCAGAAGTGGTAAAGTCATGGAAACATTTAACATCTCCACCAGCAGGACCAACACAGTGCTGCTGCCTCAGCTCTTACATGCAGGTTTGCTCTGCACCAGCCTGCAACAGTTCACCTGCTTAAGTGGGAGAGCCTGCCTGTTCCACCCAATACAGGTCTTGGGTCCCTGCATGATAACCAAACACCAGTACTGAGTGGGCAAAACAACACTGTCATCCACAGTATCTTCAGGGTTTTAAGTAGGAAATGCAAAATTTTGATTGACATTCATCTAAATGTTAGGATAATTTTGAGCAGTTTTCAGGAAATGAAAATTCATTACATTCAATGCAAAACAACTACGCTGCAGATTATTAATCCAGCCCTGAGCTGGAGCATTAGGCAGGTACAGTCAGCTTCTGAGGACAGTATTAATCCTGGAGTTATGTTTTCCATCAGTACATTTCTTCAGACAATTATTACTTAACCTTCCATGAAACTTTGCTCTCAAATTTTCACCTCAATAGTGCCAGCTAGAACTCCAAAACGCCCAGCTAATATGTCTGGCACCACAACTGAAAACATTCAATACACTCCATCTTAAGCATTTAGATCTAGGATCTCCTCTTGGCCTCGACCAGTTAATAGAATTGGAAACGGAAGATATTCAGACAAATGACGATGTCAACTGCCCCCCAGAAATGGGCTGCAGGAAGATGGGCAGCAAGACTATGCATGTACCTTCAGTCATAGCCATGACTCCTCTGCCACATGATCCACTGAAGATATTTTATTTTTAAGTTAGGCCCACCATTATTTCAGAAAAAACAAGTTCCCTGCTGTTCTTCTTTTTACAGACACACCTGCAAACATATCAGCATTTGATAGGTACCGAGTCCATTTTAATAGGAGAATCCGCAACCCAGAAACCATTAAATCCCCCTTCCCATAACCAGTTGTAAGCCACTCTCTTTGGAGCTCAGAATCTAACTTGCATCCGGAAATGCATCTGCTTTGTAGCGTTGTTACTCATTCCTGTCTTGAGCATCCATTTTGACTTCATCCTCTGCAGGTACTGCATGTCACGCTGCTGAGCAGAGACGGCCCCTGCAGGGAGAGAGAAGGAAGAGAGACGGATCAATGTCTGCCACCTTACTTACAACTTGTATGCAACCCAGCTGACCTACCCACGTACTTCAGCAGTTACCTATCTTTTTTTTTCCCCATACGGTACACTTCTTTCCACTTTTCTCTGGGGAAAGCCCAGCTCCCTCTACAAATACCCATGACTGTGATTAAAGCAAAAGACTGTTTTGCATTCCAAGTGTGATTCTTGTATTTCAAAAGTGGATATAATCCAAAACTCTGTTCCCCTACTGGGAAAGCATGACTTATGTTATATTACTAAATAGCAAGAGTAGTGACTTGGACAGGTATAAACCAAGAAATCTCAGGAAGTCACCAAGCATCACAAAGAACGGAATGAAAAGCTTGCACAGAAGCTGCACTGGATTTTAGAAGCAAACTTTCTATATCCGCTTGGATGTCAGGAATTAAAATGAACCGAGTGGAAAACAAACTACTGCATAAACCCCACGTGTCAAGCAAAGTCAACCTCTGGAACTGCAGAGTGCTGACATCCCAGAGCCTCCTCCTCTGCAAAGGCCTCCCACTGTCACTCACCTGCCTGCCCTGTCCAGCCCAAGGCTCGGTACTGCTGCAGCACCCGACCCACGGCTTTCTTGTTCTTCGCAACAGCCACGTCTCTTGTCACACCAAAACGCTGCTTGTAGTACCTCATCAAGGAACGGTGACCCACTCTGGCACCTGTTCACAGGAGGGGACATCTTATTATCCATCATGAAACAGCTTCTGAAATGGAGCACTCAAGCATGTTGTGAGAACTGTGGAAAAACCCTCTGCTGAGAAATGTTATTAAAGGGTCCAGAACTTTAAATTTTTTAGGATTATTAGGGAACTCAATGTAATTACCCTAAGAGGTGCTTGAAGGAAAAACAGAAAATGTGCTGCTATTCAAGAGGGCCTTAGCTCAGATAATAAACGTGCAGTTATCAGAAAAGAAAATCTTAATTAGTGGAATGAGCAGAGAGGCAATGCTGTTTCAAGTAAACAGTGAAGCCACTTGCTGACATTCAGGAAAACTTGTGTAACTGAAGAATTGGCAGCCTTTTCAGAATGAAAGGGCTGAGGTCCCCACATACAAAACCACCAAACAAAAGAAAAAAAAGTGAGAGTGCCAAATGCTGAACTAGAGAAAGGCTATTTAATAATTTAATTTACTGAACTAGTTTACTGAATTTGGTGGGAGCTGGCTCTCTACAAAAAACTCCTATACTAGATAAGTTATAGCCTCTCCAAGCTGCACTCAAACAAATATGGAAACTCTTGGAGTAAACCATGAGAGTCACATAATGAAGAGGTAACATGGGCAAAGCAACCCACTGCTCCAGTCCACATATCCGTCGGTGCTGAAGAAGCTGAACTACTTGGCAATGAAAATAATGGAAGATGAGGACATAACCCCAAAGACACTTAATGCTAAACTACTTTCTCCCTTCCCAGAGGAAAACACAGCAATGGCCTGTGCTGCAGGTACTGGAGGCAGATATGGGAAGTGCAGAGAAAGTAAGCTGTGACATAAACCCCATGCCCACCTGATGGAAGGATCAGCTCCATGGTGTCATCATCATAATCCAACTCTTGCTCTGCCGAGTGCTTTCCAAGACCCTCCACATCTTTCCCATCCTCGTGATCGGGATAACTGCTCCTGTGGAAGAGCAGCAATACATGGGTTAAACATGGAGGGCAGCCACAACTATCCAGACCCACTCTACAAAAGAACCACCATGCACAGCTACAGCAAGGCACAAATATTGTTGTGTTTCACCTGCCTTGGTCTGAGAGCTCCTAATGGCAGAACTTTGCCCTGAACAAAGCCTGGAGACAAGGAACCCCTTTCCTCCACCCTGTTCTGCAACTCAGCACAGTTCTGCTGCTGCACACTTAACAGTGACTTATGGTGAAAAGCCACCACAGTGCAGGTCACCAGCTCCGCTCAGCTACTGAACAAGTGCAGCAGCTCCACCTGTCACCACAATATGAGGTATTTCTGACCAAAATGAACACAGCTTAGCATTAGCTGCAGAAAGTTCAACAAGAGGCCTCAAAATCACAGCAACTCCAGCTACACAATGAAACTTATGTAAGAAACCCACAGTAGGTCTTAAATCCACAATCTCTTTAAAAGGTAACGGGAAAGACAGTTATGACCTTTTATGGCCTTGCTGGTGCACTGAAAGCTCAATTCAGTAACAGCAAACATGCAAAACAGAATTCAAAATGTACTTTGATGTAGGACTGGTAATTATGGTCACAGAAGAAGACAACCCATCTTGTTGTTACCATTACCTAAAAGAGTGGGGAACCAGCAATGCAAAATAAGTACTGGAACCTGAAACACCACTAAATTTTAAGAATGAATAATAGTTTCTAATGTAATATTTAACTGTTCTTTTGTCTGTCCCCACCTGTGTACCACTCAAAGAGAAATGACCTCACCTAAAATCATAGAAATCTGCAAATTCCAGGGCAGCATCTCCATCTGTGAAGAGTTTGCAATGGCTTTTATCATTCATATGAGCCTGGACCGCTTCCGTAGAGTAGAAGGATTTCCCCTTTTCATTGCACCAGATGCAGATTTTCCCAACACCAACTTTCTCTCCTGCAAAAAATATTGGCACTTCTAATGGTCTGAACAAAATCCCCCTAGTCAGTAATTAACATTTCTGTGACAAAGCCTTCCCAGCTTGCAGGCAGAGAGACTTAAGAGGAGCCTTGAGCCCTTAATTTCCAAGATAGCCCTGCTGTTCCTATGCCGTGACCATATGGCCCCACCAGGGACAAGTCTGGCCAGTTAAAGATTTCTTGTGACAAGGTATGGGTCATTCAGTATTCTCAATAACAAATTTCACACTTCTAACATGTTTTTCTATCCAATACTTCAAAATTATTTTATTTGCATCATTATTTTTAGACTTGAAGGATGATACTTTTTTCCTTTTAACTCTCTCACAAGCACTTGTAAACCCAAGAGACAAATTCTTGTGACTCACTGGTAGAACAACACAGTTTGTATGATTACTTTAGCAACAGAATTCTGTCCCAAATTTCACATTATCTGAACAACTTTCTCAACCTCAGAAAACTATGAGCGACCTGCAGGGTACATGACCATGTTTGCTCATCTAAGTTTTTTCTCTCATTCTTCCTGGAAAGCCTGTGGTCCTGCTCATGATCAAAATACTGACAGCACTAAGACAAAAAAAAAGCAACCCAAACCAAAACATTTGGTGTCATACCCAAATGAAAACAAGAACTATCAGAATATAATTATCCTGACAAAAAGATTAGAAACATTCAGTCATACCAAGATACTTGATTAGTCCTCTGAGATCCACAAGGTACTCTATGTCTGGAATGAAGAAGCTGTGGATTTTTGTCATATGCGCCACATTTTTTGTGAGAGATCTTGAGTGATGGGAACAGAACAAGCAGTCTGTGACTGGTATGGCCCCAACAGCAGGAATGCTTTCAGCCTCTACCTGCTGTTCCCCTTCTTCTTCCACACTTTCCATCTCTTCATCAGAGCCAATGTCTTCATCAGAATCCATATCTTCCCAGTCTTTTAAAGGAAGTTTTAAAAAAAACATATTTATTTTATACTTTTCCCAAGCAAAATACATCCCAAATAAGTTAGAAAAAGCCATCATAGAACATACTGCATTTTTTGTTCTTACAGCTAAGTGCCACACAGTCACTTCCAGGTGCAAGAATTTACCATTGCCAGTAAAAGACATTTCTTTTTAAGATGCACAGCAAAGCACAAGGTCACTCATAAAAACTGTAGGCAGATGTGATACTTTTCGCCCTCCATTTTCTCAACTATTAACACTTTACTGCTGTAAACAGTAGTGTTAACATTAACACTAGAGAGGAGCAAGCTGGCTTCTTGAGGTGTTACAATGTATGCTCAGAGGTAAATGTTTCTCCTCACGTAGAACAGGTTCACTGAACTGCAGCCGAAATTTCAAGAGCACAAAACTGCTGTGACAGATGCAGTAACGTGACACAGGGGTTTCAGAAGCTGGATTGAAGTTCCACCTCACTCACACCTGTCCCCTTGCTTCAGCTCAATCACCCCATTCAACTGCTCCAATAGATGTGTGTGGAGCTGCACTGTCAACTACAGCACTGAAAGCATCCAGGTTAAAAATAACTATTTTCTGGAAATTCTGAAGCTCTGATCTTTTCAGCTGTCTGCTTTCCAGGCTGACCTCCAACACAGAGCTGTATTCATAGGAAGAGGCCACTGGGGTGGCAACTCTCAAACCTAACACAGACATCAACACGCTGGGGGGTGACACCACACAGTCAGGTTAAAGAGCAAATTTTCTCCTCTGGTCTTGGTGGGCAGAGGGAAACAACACCAACCACAGTCCCACCTCCCTTCAACAGATCAGGAAATGACTTAGGATAATAGCAAATTATCATAACTGGATTTTTGTTCATTTATTTTTCAGAAGTAGTTTTAGGGTAACCTGTTATATCAACCTTCTTTAAAGGAAACTTCCTTTGACGTTTTATGTGGGAAGCAGTGCTCTGTGATACAGATATACTAGTGACTATACTCAATCTCTACATGCATTAGTGTCTGTCTGTAAGCTGAACAGCTGGCAGTCCAGATACTCACACAGAGTCCTAGACTGCAAACACGGGCAACCTTAACTCCTTTGTTAAACTGAAAATTTAATCAACAGCAAGACCTTCTGTGATGGAAAATGCTGCACTGCTATAGAAGTAGGAGGAAGCTTTTGCTCAAACCATAGCTTACCCCAAGCTATCTCCTGTCAGTGTGTTTACTGCCTTACCTTCCTCATTATCCTCTTCTTCCTCTGCCTGTTGCTTGGCCAGCTTCCTTGCTTGCTGTTCAAACCACTGCAGCCGTGGAGGTATTTCTGGTCGTTCTCTGCTCTGGGACAAGCTGGTGCTTTCCCTGGAAACTGGAGAGCTACTCGCATGACTAGGAGGTTGAGGTGTCTTCTTTGGAGACGAAGATGGCTGGGCTCTGATGGCTTGCTGAATAGCTGTGTTCATTTCATCTTTATTTACACTCTCTGGGGCCAGCCCCTTTTCCAGATTCTTCTCATTTAATATTTTCACCTTCTTGCTGACAGCTTGGACAGTTTTCTTCTCCAGCTCCAGGTGCTTCTTGGACTTCAGGTGATTCTCATAGGCATTGAAGGTGGAGAACCTCTTGCTGCACACTGTGCAGTAAGTGGCAGTGATTTTGTTCTGCTCCTCAGCTACTGCTCTCTGTGCCAGGACTCTCTCTTGAAAATTCTCAGCAGTAACAGGAGGCATGTCAGCAACTTTACGCTTCAGGTTGTACCTGTGCCAGTCACTTTTGTAATGGGCACGCTGAATGTCACCATCCTTGAAAGCCACACGGCAAGTGATGCAAGTGTAGGTGGCCATTACTAGAAAATGGCAAAAAAATAAAATCATGTTAAAAAATTAAGTAACAGACACAAAAAAGCCCCAACACCTTCATCCTGACAACCTTATTTTAAGGCAGTGTTAGACACACAGTTCTTGCACAGAATTACTAAACACCAGCATCAGCAATGAGTGCGGTATTCACGGGCAGCAGCAAGAGAGGAAACTTATAAATAAAAGACTGAGTTCACTTGTACCACAACAGCAGCTGAGCATCCCAGCCCTGGATGCAGAACCTGCTGTGCCTGTTGGGACTAGGATGCATGAAAGGGCCTCCAGTCACAGCAAAAGTATTTCAAATGCTCTACGCTTTTCACTGAACATCAGTGACTAGAGGTTCTTAACAAGCTCGTCTTCTACCAACTGTAAGACTTTGGGGAGACCAGTGATTCCTCAGAAACAAGGGTAAAAAGGGAAAATCTGCTTACAGTCCTATTTAGCATCTTCCACAGCCTTATTAAATGGCAAAAAAAAAAAAAAAAAAAAAAAAAGTTACTGTAGTTAAAAATAAAGCCTTCTTAGCTACTTTGGAGCAGTGCATGTAGTGTTGACAACACTTCACCCTGCAGAGCTGTTCATCTGCAGATGCAGTCAGTCATGCCTAGCACTTGAAACCACTGCTAACCCTGCTCTCCCTTCACTTCCCACTATCCAGCCAACCCATGCTACTGGGGCTGGGACAGGACAACTGCAGAGCAGTGACCTCCCACTCATGTTGTCCTTTCCAAACCCATACATTTCCTTCCTTCTCAGTGCTTGATGAAATTTTCCTTTTTTTAACAAAGTTGATGGAATTTCTTGAATGCTGCAAAATCAAAGAGCAAAAAGAGTGTAATCTGGAGATCACAGAAAACACCCTCATTGTTTAACTGATTTAGAAAAACTATGGCTTAATCTGGAGAAAAAATAAATAATACATCAGGATGAGGGGGTCTGAAAGCAGGGAGAGGAAGAGCAGCCCTTCCCTGAAGCTACTAACAGGGAGAAGCAGTGGTAGAAGTCATAAACATGTAGAGTGAAAACACATGTTATGAAATGCTCATTCCCTGGAACCACTGGGATCCTTACTTATTGCTTGTGCTATCGGCAGTGTGATAGTGACGGGGGGGATGCAGCAATTGAAGGCCATATAATCTGGAGTACTATAAGCATCTGCCCAGTACAACAGACCCTTTTTGTGTTTCAGAAAAAAACGTGTTCTCTGCCCACTGCGAGATCCCGAAGATTCCCTGAGGCGTTTCCCTGCCACCCGCAGCGCGCCCTGCCCTTCTCCCCAGGCAAGCACCAACCTTTGCCATAAAGCACTGACTCAGAGCCACGCTGGCTGCAGTGACAAACCCCTTGGAGGGCGCTGAGGGAGAGCACTCTGCTCCGGTCCATGAGGGACAGACAGAAGCGGCACGCTGCGTTACCACGGGGACACTTAAAAACACCCAGCCTCGCCCCGCTCCGCCCCACCCGCAAGAAAGCAGCTCAGGAGACGAGATTTGTAACTAAGAGAAGCTAAAGCCATAAACCTTCACCTCTGTTACGTGGAGACGCGTTTACAACACAAATTGCGCAAAGCAGAATTCCCGTGTAGTGACAGGGATCCTTCCCGCGTCCCGCCTGCATTTCCCCTCCCGTTTTAAGCCCCAGCACCGAGGCCCCGAGCCCTACCTCGTGTGGGGCTCAGCAAAACGAAACCCCAGGGCACAGCCGAGCCCTTCAGGCCAAATCGCGGTCTCCCTGAGGCTCTTTATCACGGCTGATTTTTAGCTGCCTTCGGGTGGATTTACACTGAGCCCGTGTCCCTGATCCTGGCACAAGGCAGGCGTTTACCACACGGACAACAAAAATTCGGGCAAAACCTATAGATAAAAAAACGAAAAACAAAAACCATGAGATAAGACAGGGCGCAGGCGGCAGCCGGAAGCCGCCAGGCCAGGCGTGGAGCAGGCCGGGCTCACAGGGAACCTGCATCCCAAGGGAGCAAAGCCGGCTCGGCCAGGCCACGCCTCCTGCCCTCCGCCCCCGCTACCCTCATTGGCCCGGGCCGGGTCGAGCCGGTCCATTCCATTCCAGCACATTTCAGTCCATCCCGTCCCATCCCGCCCCTGATTCCCGGGACACGCACCTGCGGCCGGCGGAGCGGGCGGTGCCGCGCGCGGGGCAGGAAGCGGCCGCGCGGCGTCCGGCGGGAGCGGCCCGCGCGCGCCCCCTGGCGGCCGGAGGGCGCGGGGCAGGGGCGGGAGCGCCGCCTCACGGGCCGTACTGCGGTGTGGCTCTGCGCCTTCGGCTGGTTGGGCTTGTGTTTGTTTTGTTCCTTTTTGTTCTGTTTGTTCGGGTGGTCTCACGGAGTCAGTTAGGTTGGAAAAGATGTCTCCGATCGAGTCCAACCTATGGCCGAACACCGCACTAAGTGCCACGCCCAGTCCTTCCTGAAACGCCTGCAGGGACGGTGACTCCACCACCTCCCTGGGCAGCCCTTTCCAGTATCTGATCACCCTTTCTGTGAAGAAATTCTTCCCGATGCCCAACCTAAACCTCCCCAGCTGCAGCTTACAGCTGTCTTCTTGTCCTATCACAGGTTACCTGGGGGAAGAGGCCGAAGCCCACCTGGCTAGAGCCTCCTTTCAGATAGTTGCATAGAGTGATAAATTAACCCCGTTTGTTGCTAGAGGGTTTATTTCCATTTCTGGGAGCAAACACACAATGAGATGATGAAAGATAAAAACTAACACATATTTATTAAAACAATCAATATAATAGTTCCATGTTTACAAAACAGTGATCAGGCAGGTAAAGTGCTGCAGAATACTTAAATACGGACATTTTGTAATTCTCCAGTTTCTGGTTGCCTGGGTGGGGGTTACTCACAGACTGCGACGCTGCTCATGTGCTGAGAACAGACGTGGAGACTACAGGGATTTATTTGTTCAGAAGGCTGGGACAGCCTGGAGAAAGTGCAAAACAAACACAGAACAAGTAGAACGAGTATTTCTTCAGATCCCGTTACTTTGGGTTGCAATTATTTAACCTACTCTGCATAGAATAGTAATTTTTTTCTAACAAACACAAGAGTGGTCAGTAGGTGTGTGGTACATACACATGGAAACCTCGTGTTATGGGAACGGTGGTTTTGCACTGGATTTGACACACCAAAGGCCACCAATCCGATGGAGATCCTGTCACGTGTGTACTGACACAAGGGGAAATTTTCCGAGTACAAAAGAGTGACCTGCATCCCTGCCCTGACATACATCCTTTTTTTCCATCGGGATGCGTGAAGAAGCCACTGCAAGGCACAAGAGGGTGAGCCCTTTGCTGCCAGCTACAAGCACACACACACAACACAAGCAGCACCGATTCCAGGGCAGGATCACACACTCTTACCCCATGGCATTGGCTCACACTAAGCCCTCTGTGCTGCCCGTGTGCCTTCTGACTGGAAATCACATGCAAGGAAGCTTTGCATGGAAAAACTGCATGTTTCAAAGCTATGTATTGCCTTATACCCCCCTGCCTGTCTTCCTGCCCAGGCATTCCATTTGAAGGATGGGAAGGTGACAACAGTGCTTGGTAGGAAAGACGCTGTAGACCATTGTAACAGGAATTTTTAAGGAACTGCTATTTCTTGGCTGCTCCTACAATACAACAAAATGAAGTTTTCTCAAAGGATTTCCAACTGAGGGCAGTGTGGAGAGGATCCACAAAGGAGAGAAACATTTTCTTTGTGTTTTGCTGGCGAACTGCTGGCAGTGGAATGTATTGTGTCCACGCAAAGTGTTTCTTACATGTGGTTGTGTGGAAGGGAAGAGATAATTTCCTGCAGAAAATTAGACATCTTTTTATACCTGAGGAAGAATATTAAATGTTACAGAATTACATCCTTCCCATTACACAGCATTTAGGGGATTGAATGTAATTAACTATCATGACAGCAGAAAAAAAATTTCTAAAGACTCTCAGATGAACAACTATGTCCCTAACTTTAATGATTTACTCGTTCAAGTTTTGGTTGTTTTTTTCTTTCTGAAAAAAAAAAAAAAAAGAGAGTCATACTGGGGAAAAATCAATCTATTTACCTATCTTGAAACCAGAAAATGGGTCATTTACAAAAAGTCTGAGAAACTCCTCCAACTGCTTTTCTTTCTGATCTAATCTATTATTCTAGAAGAGTGCCCCTGTGTTACATACTTTCATAACCACAAATATTTTCCATAAAACAACAATAAAGTGCACGCTGTTACAATGCCACCGTTGACAGCCAGCTAGCCTGTCCTGCCAATCTGCTCCAGAAAAGCCTGTGAACAACTGCTCCCTCCCTGCCGCCTCTCCCTGTCCCGCAGCCAGTTTCCCCTTCTGGCACCAGTACTCCTGGACAAGGAAGCACACAGTTGTTTGGGCATCCTACAAAGCTTCATCAGCAACTTGGATTTGTACTCTTTTAACTGTACAGATTGTCCTAAACGTGCGGCAAGGAAATGAGGCTTTTAAGTCATCTGAGAACTTTTTAAACTCACTGATTTTCCAACAAAACCTTTTTTTAATTTTGGTTGGGTATTTGATTTTTTTTTTTAATTTGTTTTTTCCAAATGAGAAGAACAGCCTGGTGAAAGCTAAAGAAGAAACTTAGCAACTAATGCTGTGGAAGTGATGTGAGCCATGTTTTCTAATGATTTCCTGAAACTCAGGTGTTGAGATATTGTAATTTGAAAGCTGCGTCTTGTGGGATCTATATCCAGCATCCACTTATTTCATAATGTATTTGATAATGAAGGCACAGGCTTACCCTTTTACTGGTAAAGGACAGCAAACACAGTCAATATGCACTACTGACACAAAAAGCACAAGCAACAATAAAGCTAGTGTCAAAACATCTCGGCATCCTTCCTTTTGCTATACTCTTTTTGGCCATCTGCCTAGCCTTCCACCTCAAAAGGAAAAAAAAAAATACAAAATGAAGTTAATTTCAAACACAGGTTTACCTACACATATATGTTAGTGGAAGATTTTTATCATCTGTTGCTGTACTTTTTGAGGGTCCTAGATGACAGTATTTACCTCTTCAAATGCCAGCAAATGGAAATTTACTTGAGTAGTAGTAGCAGCTGACATGGTCCCTCAACTTTGCTAATGGTCTACATCACATTAAAAAAAACTAGCTTTATTTCATCCTATTTCTTGGATTACTATTGCTTGGTATTGCAATGCAGTTTTGTCACAGGTGAACAAAAAAGCCCTAGAAAAATAAGTTATCTGCTTGAGATCCCATGCCACTCAGCATGTGTGGACTTTCAACTGGCAAATAATTTAAACAAGTTTTTTGTTTAAAATTACATGCCAAGAAGAAGATTCTGAGTGTCTTCTCCAGCAACTGACCTCACCAAAAGCTTCTAAGTATTTTAAAATCATCACCTTGCAACATAACTTTTGAGGCAAGTGGAAGCAGCTATCACAGGAAAAAAAGCCAAACCAAAACCTACAGGATCTCAAATTAAGGAAGTGGCACCTAAAAAGCCTTTTTGCTTTTTTTTTTTTTTTTTTTAATCTCTAATCTCTACTCCAAACAATAACTACCCTCACCTGCTCCCAAACAGGTTGTTCAGTTTACACAATATTAACTTTTAAACATAAAGATTCATTGGCTGACTTCGCACGGGCAATACTGCCAAGGATCAGACTCCATCAAGGAACACAGCAGGTGGTCAGTCATATAACATGACACTTGACAGCTCTACAAGCCTATAACAGCAAAAAACTTGGAAATGCATCACCATATCCAAAATAATTCAAAGGTTTTAAGTATGAAATCTAGGAGGTTTTATAGTGTTGCACACATATTTAAACTCGAGTTGTGCCAGTTAATGTGTTTCATATGCAGTAGATGCACTACACATAATGCTAACTGCAGGGATCCATACTTTTTGGTAGGATTGAAGGAGGTGAGATGCAGTTAATCTCACTGCAGCCCTCTGGTAACTTGCCCTCACAATATGAGTCATTAATTGTATTACATGATTGGAAAACTAGAGTAAATAAACTGCTGATATTGGAAATTTGGCTCAGGACCCCAAAATAGATGGTTGGCAAAAAGGTAAAAGAAACCTCTCCCCCAACTATTTTTAACAACTGACTTCCACCACACATCTGCAACCAAACAGTGGATAGAGAATTCATTTCCATGCTATTAAATTGAGGTACAACTACCAGAAACATTAAACTATCAGTATTAGCTGATACTTATCCAGTTAATTCACTCTGCATAAGGGAAATTATTACAACACATCTAAAGGGATAGTTAAAGCTTACAGCTCAGAATTTTCTTCTCTTTTTTTTCTTTTTTTTTTTCTTTTTGTTTGTTTTGTAGTATTTGATGGTATTTTTTTTGTGTTTTATGTTTAGTTTCTCCTGTGTTACCAGCTGCAACTTCAAGGTTAATGACTTCCAAGAAGATTTGAAAGGAAGCCTGAAGACTTTTTCTTTTCCTGGGATTCTGCTTCTTGACCTTGTGAAAGTCCCAATTCTTTCTCAATCTGCTCTAGCTCAGACTGGTCAAGCAGTTCAAAATCATCACCTTCCTCTGTGTCTGTCTCCTCGCTCAAACTGGGCGCTGCCTGTGATGGACCTTGCTGTAGGGACTGCAGCTGGTCTTTGATGGCAGCAGACACCGCAGCCGTGATGACATCGCCAGCAATTCCACTCATTAAATTAAAGGTTTGGTCACTGGTCAAAGGCAAGGACAGCCCTGCAGTGGATGGTCTCTCTTTACTCTGTCTGGAAGCGTGATCCGCCTTGACATCAGTTTGCTCTTTCCTTCGTTTTTGCTGGGTGGGCAAACCGATGCTTGAGTCATCGTCGTCGTTTGTGCCGGCACCATTTTCTAAAGAGGGAAACTCCAAAAGGTCTCTAGCGAAAGCTTCTTCATGATCACTAGGTCGGTCAAAATCTATTACAGGGTTAACAGAAGAAAACAGTGTTAGCATTCACAAAAGGTTTCCCAAAAAGGCAGCCCCACGTAACAATGTGAGTAGCAAGTGTTCCTCTGAATACATTTACTAATCCCTACTCTAGTAGTTCTCTAGTGGAACGAGCTTTTTGTGACATCAAAAACAAAATGGTTTTGAGGTCATAAATCTAGCGCCACAAATCTGCTGGTATCAACCTAACTATTTGAACAAAGTAACTTTTTTAAGCTAACTTTTTTAGGCATTTCTCTGCAATGAAACAACCCATGCAAATCTTCAGCACAGCTGTTTCTAAATATACCAACCACATGAAGTCCTAAAATCCATCTCTCTTCACAATATATATAAACTACAAATATGTAAACATGTAAGATGTGTTACAAGCTTTTAACATGCATATGGAGTAATAAAAAGAATGCTTATCTGTTTAAATAAAGATATAAAACCAATGTAAAGACTTAATTTCTTTTTCCTTTCTTGGCCAATGCTTGTATTAAAAAGGAAACATAAAATGGAAACTCTACAGATGATCAGAATTGTTTCATGTTTTCAAGAGGATAAAAAGCAGGATGCAATCAAACATTTAATTTTAATTGCTGCATTAATGAATGACACAATA